AACTAGATATTAAAGTCCTAGTAATTCAGGAACTATAAGTAATAATAAGAAATAGTAATAATCGGAAATATTATTCTATTATATACTCTAGCTATTTCTAAATACTCCCGAATTATAGTACCCTGAGGCCTAGAACCCTATTTTATATAGCTCGCGAACTATAAGCTAGTCTAGCCTCAAACTTACTAAGTAATCCTAATTACTTAATTATAGATTTAAGTCTAAGTATACTAAAAATATAGCTAATTAATTTCTATAATATAATTTACCTAGAAGACCCTAATAGTATATTAACTATATTAAAAGAGAGTATTTTACTTACTATTCTCTATAATAGCTCTCTATTACTAGGTGATTTTAATATATATTATTCTTAGTAAAATTCCCTTAAACCTCAAAGTAGTTATATAGTTTATTTAATTAGCTATATAGAGAACTATTCTCTAAGGCTATTAAATAAACCAGGGGAAGGTACCTTCTATAGACCTAATATGTCTATTTCTTCCGTATTAGACTTAAGTTTTGCTACTAGTAAAATAGTAACTAAGATTAAAGACTAGTAAGTATTACTAGACTTAGGTTCTAATTACTTCGGGATTCTATTTACTATTAGTAAGTCAACTTATAGCTCTAGTTCTAATCCAGTTAGATTTAATACTAAGAAAGTAGACTGGGCTAAATTTATAAGCTACCTTATTAATAGCCTTGAGAATATATCCTTTCTATTTACTAATATACCTGGAAACCATGAATTAGACCTATTAGTAGAAGACTTTACTAATAGAATAGTAAAAGCAGCTAGTAATAGTATTCCAAAATCTACTACTAGTCCGTATTCTAAACCCTAGTAGAATAAGGACTTAAAGACCTTATATAAATTAATACTATACTATAGCTATAAGTCTAAAGCTTTAGGATATACTTTCTATAAATAAGAACTCCAAAATACAAAAAACACCTATTTTAATACTATTAAGAGTACTAAGCTAGTATACTAGAATAAGTTCTTAGAAAATAAAAACCTCTAGTCGATTTTTAAAGCTATAAAATATACTAAAGATATTATATATTAATCTATTCCTAGTATCTTAGATAATAGTTTAAATAAGCTAAAATTAACTTTCTAAGAAAAGTATAATATCTTTAGAACTATACTTTTCCTACTTTCTCCTATTATAGTACCTATTAGTCTAATAGACTATAGGCCTATTAAGAGGATAAAAGCATGTATTGAGTATATTATATAAATAAGAGAGCAAAGCTCCCTTATATATATTACGTATATAAATCAGGTGGCTAGTATATATATATAAGTATATATACCGGGCTTACAGATTACCCTTTTAATATTCCTATATAATTAAGAGCTCCTATAGGATCTATATATAAGAAGAGAGCAGAGGCTAGCTCCTATATATAAATAGAACGGGCTACCTTTAGTAAACTATAGCCAAAACCCTTTATAGGGGAAAAGACAGTCTGTAGAAGAATGGTAAGCCGTAATAAAAGAGAAGACAGAAAGTAATCGGATAAACTAAGCTAAGTAGATAGCTACGGATTAAATCATCCGAGCGAAATTCGAATTATACGGATATTATATAGTAAAAACTACTATATCTCCCCTCCGGATATCGAGAATTCCAGCTCCTATAGCCCTATTTAATCCCTATAGCCTTCCTAAATACTATGAATTTATCCCGATATAGTACCTTTATAAGTCTATCCGCTACTTGCTCTAAGGTAGGGATATATCGGAGGTTAATTCGTCCTTCTATAAGCTTTTTATAGACGAAATAGTACTAGATATTAATATACTTGACTCGTCTATAGAACTAATTATTCTTTGCAAATATAATAGCCCCTTAATTATTCCTATAGATAATTATAGCTCCCAGACCGGGATCTCCCGGATTAATTTACTTAAGGAACCCTTGAAACCAGATAGCTTCCTTAATAATATTCGTTTAACTAATATATTCCGCTTTATATATAGACAGGAATACTATAGGCTAATATTTGGAAAACCAGGAAATTATAGTACTCCCGAGACTAAAAACGTATCCGGATATTAATTAACGGGTATCTGGATCCCCGGCCTAATCCGAGTCCATATAGCCAGAGAGTAGCTATAAAGTACTACAAAAAACAAGCCCTAGATCTGCTATATTATAGAAGTACTAGAGGATCCGTTTTATGGCTTTTATATAAGTCTTATTAGGATTTAAAAAGAACCATAAAACTACTAAGACCGCAAAAGCGAGGTCTGGTCAGGTCCCGAGTATAGTATATATTAGGGAGCCTATAATAGACTAATACTTATAATAGAGTATTTAATCCGCTTAATTATCTATAGATACGAACCGGAAGGAGGTTTCTATAGGGGTAAAGACAGGCTTATAGGAACTAAACCCGTAATCTTGGAATACCTTTTTTATATAGGCCTTCTAGAAGAGCCGGAGAATCCGTTATAGACGGTTACGGATAACCTTTATTCTAAGGTAAAAGTGATATATTTCAAGGTCTAATATCTTGAACCGCTTACTTAGAGCGGCCTTAATCCTATTAATATCTGGCTTAGAGGCTCCGGTAATTAGGAGATCGTCTATATAGATTATAATAATCGTACTATTCCGGCAGAATACGGAAGAATTAGTATTAAGGGGCTTAAAGTCAAGTAAAGCCAGAAAAATAGCAAGTATATTATACTAGACCTATAGAGATTACTTTAAACTATAAAAGGCTTTCCTTAGTTTTGCTATCCCAGAGACCCTATAGCTTATAGGGAGCTCAATCCAGATATCCTTATTTATATCTCTATATAAGAATATAGTCTTAATATTTATTTATTCGATTTTCTAGTTATATATGGCCATAAGAGCGAAAATAGCCTTATAGGATATAGGCTTAACTATAAAAGCAAATATCTCATAGAAATCCAGGCCCTTCTTCTACTCAAACCTATAGATAACCTAGCGGGCCTTATACCGGAGGATCTCTCTATATATCCCTTACTTAATTTTAAAGACCTATTTACCTATAAATACTTGGCGATTTAATAGGCAATCTTATTTAGTCTATATCCTATTTTCTACTAAAGACTAGTATTTCTTCTAAATTACCTGTTCCTACTATTCCTACTATCTACTATCCTTAGCTTCTTGTAATATTCGTGGTTCGAAAGGCTTGCAAGAATTAGTATAGCCGAGAAAGAAAAAAAGAGAGAGCTCGTCAAATATAGAGAGATAGATTAGGAAGAGACAGAGTATAAGAGGGTCAGAAGAATCGAATACTCGATAGAGAAACTTATAAGAGGAAGAGAGAAAGAAGTACTCGAAAGGTTCTAGTTTATCCGTATCCGTATCCGTAATTAAAGAGAGGAAAGTTTATAGACAGAGTTCTGGATAATGGATATATTTAAAAGAGTTAGTATCTTTATCCTTTAAGGGCAGGTAGAAATCAGGATCTGGATCTATAAATAGTTCCGGAAAGAAAAGGTTCTCGAAATTATAAATAAGCTTATCTTCTACTATAGCTTGCGAATATAGATATAAAGAAGCTTAGTATAAGTCCTCCGGATCCTCTGGTTCCTTAAAGTCAGAATCGAGCTCCGGATACCAGAAGTACTCTTATTTAATAGCCCATAAAGGGAGAGGCTCTTATTCTGGCAGGGTATTTTCCCAGAAGGCCCATAGACTTAGCTCGATAGATAAGCCTTACTAGGCGGAGCTATAGACGGTCTATAAATGAGAGGGGATAGAATTAATTACTAGAGAGGCTTCTGGGAAGTATTTAACGGATACAGACTATAAGGATTATAGCTGAGGTATTCCTGGAGCTAGTAGCTAAGCTAGTAGTAGGTTCTAAACGGGTAAAGTATAGCTTAGAGCTATTAGAATAGGAGGAGGCTCAGGAGAAGGGGGTACCGTTCTCTCGGAAGGAGAACCGCCGAACTTATACCAGAAATTATTATAAGAGATAGGCGGAGCTTACTAGAGGTTCCGGTAGATTAACTAGTATAGGCCTGGCGGTCGAGAGGAGCTCAGGGGAAAGTTTGAGCTAATTAGGACCGGTAAATACGGAATAGGAGAAATACTAAGGCCTAACCGCCGGATAGAATTCGGGAGAGAAGGGCTAGTACTAGTTTGGACCGGTAGATACGGAATAAGGGGCTATAAATATGGCTAAGACCCGTAAGATAGTAGTCTAAGGAAGCTCAGGAGAGGCCTAGAATTAATTAGAACCGGTAATTACAGGATAGGGGCCCTTAAATATGGTTAAGACCCATAGGATAGTATCCGGGTCTTAGTAACGGGCTAAACAAACCAGTCTTTATTTACCGGATATTTCTTCCCTCGAACAGGGTATAAGAGAGTAATTGAGATTAGTATAGGCTTGATATATTCAAAGATATAGTAAACTCCGGGTCTAGTAGGATCCGTAAAGTAATCTATATCCGGGTCTTCCTAGATATCTTCCGGATTAAATTACTGCCAGAATATCTATTTAATAGTTTATAGGGCTATAGCCCGGCAGATCCGTCCGTCTGGTTTAAGGATACGGTATAGGGTATTTCCCTTATATCCGATAAGGATCCCTTTATTAGCTTTATTACAAATAAGCTTCCGTAATCTTCCGGGATTACTATAGTAAATAGTAGAACTAAATATATAGATATAACTAATATATAAGTAATGGCCATATTATGCCTCGAATAAAGTCTTCTTGATCTTGGAATAGGGGCTCTATATATAAAGGTATATAGTATACTTAATAGCCTCGGGCCAGAACTTGAGATCGAGGCTAGTATACTTAAGAAGCAGAGCCGCTTTATAATAAATAGTCTATCCAAGATATTCTATAGATCCGTTTATTTGAGAAATATATGGTTTAGTTAGTTCCTACCTAATCTCTCCTTTAAAAAGCATCTTCTGGAACTTACTAGTAATATATTCCTCTCTATTATTATTATAGAGGCACTTAATAACCCAGCCCAGATCCGGCTATTTATAGTACTTCTTAAAGTAGATAAAACTGTCCGTTATATTACCCTTGGCTTTAATTAGGTAAACTGCTATAAGCTTGGAATAATTATATATAAAGGTAACCAGGTACCGGCTCCTATTATAGCCTAGTACAGGTATTAGGCCTATTATATCCGAGTAGATTAGGTCTATCTTATATTTCCCTAGCTTAATCGGGTAGTTATATAGTAATTAATAGCCCTTGGATATGAGATATACCTTATAAATATAATCTAACGAGTAATATTTTTCCGTAAGATTAATACCCTCGTATATAGATAGTAAACGGGCTATATTCTATAAATCCAGGTATCCTATATAATTATACTACTAAATAATATTAGTTCGAATTATATAGGCTTAAGCGGTAGTAGGTTTCTTAATAGGGGGCTTCTCGATAGCCGGGAAAGCCCTTAGTATAAAGGAGATCTATAGAGCTAGCGGATAATATAAGATAAAGGAGATTTCAGGTAGAGGAAATTACTGGAGACGGCTACTCGGAGAGCTTAAAAGAGATAGCTATAGGGCCAGAGAAGGAAAAGAAGAAGAGGGGGCTCCTATAGTAGAGCGGATATAAACGGGCCATTATTTAGCTTAATCTAAGAGCCAGAGCCCGTATTTTACAGATATATTAATCTTAATCTTACCTATAGTCTAATAGATAGCCTCTTCTATAAGAACGGGCTATACCTTCTTTCTTTTAAAGATCTGAGATATAAAAATAAGGTTAAATAGCCCTATAAACAGGTAGTACTTGATCTCGGTTAAGCGGAGAAGTATTAGATAGCTACTAGGACCAGAAATTAGGATCTCGACCGTCCTAATTCTCTCGAAACGTATACTATCTCTAATATTACCATAAGTACCGTACTAGCCCTTCCGGAGCTCGGAGAAGTTAGCCAGAATACCCGTAATATGATTTATATAGTCCATATTAACGATCTACTTATTTTAGAGCGGGTAAGGCGGGGCTAAGAAGGCTTAATTATTTATTAGGGCAGGAGTAATATTTCCGGATACAAAATTATTAATAGCTATATAATTAACTATTAGGACACCTATATCCGTAATATCTACGGTTTGCTCGGATAGAGAAAAGGCCTTTAGCTTTTTAAAATCCCTCCTGCCTCCGCTTATCTGCTTTTATTTCTTGTTCCGGGCCTTTTATTTATTATTAAACTTCTTTTTAAGATACAGGTATTTTAGAAAGCATTTGGCCTCTATATAATAGTTCTTATTATAGTAAGTATAATAGTCGACCGTATTAGACGGACGGGAGAAGCTATAGACTATAAGGGCTATCCTAGTACCGGTAATTAATAAGGATTACTACTTCTTTTTATTATAAGCCTTCTAAACTATAGTATTAAATATAATTATAGGAGTATTAGTAGAGGTAATTAGGGCTATAGATTAAGTAAGTATAGTAATAAAGATATTATATATAGAGCCAAGGCCTTAGAGAAAGCAGAGAACAAACTAAACCTCTGAGAATATAGTAGATAGATAAAGATCTTGTAATTTGTAATTAATTTACGAGAGCTAGCCCGAGAAATTAGTAATACTCTTGTAATTCCTAAGGTAGAGGGTATAGAACCGGGTTATAAGCTCTATTAGTTTTCCAGAACCCTTCTTATAGCTAGCCCGGAGAATATCAAGTATCTAATATACTCGGGTCTTTGATTTAACCTTTTAGTAATTATTATACTCGTACTTACTCCGGATTATTATATATATATAACCTTGCTTCTCTGTCTAGATCGGGAGTACTTTATTATACTCTGCCTTAAGTAGGATATAGTCTATATACTAAATAAGATATACTGTCTACTAGGCCTCTATAGTACTATCCAGGAGATCCGCCGGAGGGAGCAGGTAATATGGCTCCTTTACTTACTATATTATATCTATAAAATCCCCTATTATAAGCATCTCTTCTAATTAATAGAAGAAGTCCTACTAATTAGATCCGTTATTCTTAAGCTATAGAATTAGGCTAAGGGATATCCTACTTATCTTACTCTTATTAGATAATATAGCTTATCTATCTAATTATAAGTCTGGGATCTTAATAACTTTAATAGGAAAGGAATTAGTTAATCTATAGTACTTATACGAATATAGATAGATAAGTTATAGAGAACGAGAAGGAGGACGAGAGAGAGGTAATAGGGACCTTAAATAAGAAGGTCTTTATAGAGGAGGATATAGATATAAAGGATCTGAGTCTGAGCTTAATAGCTTTTATAGAGAGGGAGGCTCGGACTCGAAATAGAAGAACTCGAAAGGGGTCTCTTAAGGGGCCAAGAGAAGAAGAGAGCAGGGCTATATAACGGTTAGTTAAGTAGGAGATAAGACTTGAGAGGGAGGATAAGAGAAAGAGTAAGTCTATAAGGGAATTACTACTTGAATCTCTCGAGGAAAGCGGACTATAAAGCCAAAGAGATCCGAGGAACCTGCAGGTAAGTAGTAGCTCTCTTAGAAATCTGCTTATAAGAGGGGAATAGAGAAATACGGTCCGTTAAATATAGACAGATAGAAATCGGGATCTAGAAAGCTATAATATATATCAAATATATCTTAAACGGTACTCTCGATATAGGAGAGCCAATAGCTAAGATTATACTATATGAGACAGTAATTTAGTAGAGATTACTCAAGTTAGAGGAGGGTTTACTCGGTAAGTTATAGGCGAGAAGGAACGGTAGAGAATCTTCCCTGCCTTTTATTTTCCGGGGCAGATTCTCTCTCCTCTCTACTAGTTTCCTTATACTTGGGAGTAAATATCGAGTAAACAAACCGTATAAACCATATAGGTACGGGTATAGGCTCGGAAATAAAGTTCTTACTACTTTGGTATAGTATAAAAAATTGAGATATAGCTTACCGGAAGTTCTCCGGGACCGCTATACTAAGCAAGAGCTAATAAGAGGGCCTCGCTTCGCAATTAATAGCTTTCAGAGATTAAGAATAAGGTTTTTATCTGTATAATTTAAGGGAATTAGTCTATTATATAAAGATATAGTGGTTTCTATAGTAATATGAGAGCTCAGAGCCCACAAATCGGTACTTAACAAGATAGTAACCGAGAGATACAGAGCTAGTAGGCCTATAGCCCTGGATACGGAAATAAGAAAGCTAAAAAACGCCTTTTAGAGGCTCTATATCCGTAAAATATAGTAGAAAAAGAGAGAATATAGTAGAAAAGGGAGGGAAGAATAGGAAAAATTAATTTCCGGGGGTCTATATAACTCGTTTACAGATAAGCTTTAGCCAAACCATCTGTATATACTAAGTAAGGAGGCTAGGAGAGGCCAAAGCAAGAGAGTAAGGTAAGAGAATAGAGAGGATATAGTATCCTATACCGAATTTTGAAAGCGAGAAATAGTTTTTAAAAGGAAAAGATACCTAAAGCTCTTATATACTAGAAATCGGGGCAAGAGAAGCTATAAAAGGTTAATTTTCATGCTTTTATAAGTAAGTAGGACTTAGTATATAAGATAAAAGAGAGAGACTAAGTCCTAGCGGAAATCCGGGCATTATAACCTATTAAGAGAATAAAAGCATATATTAAATATATTATATAAATAAGAGAGTAAAGCTCTCTTATATATACTATATATATAAATCAGGTAGCTAGTATATATATATAAGTACATATACCGGGCTTGCAGATTACCCTTTTAATAAGGCCTAGCTTAAAGTAAGACTAGCCTATTTTATCTAAAATAAAGCTAGAATAAGCCTATATCTCTAAGATAAAAGGAAAAACCCCTAGACTAGACTTAGTTATTTAAGAGATTATAGTCTATACTTATAAAGCTTCTTTAGATATCTTTTATAAGCTATATTCCTTATTTATTAATAAGGGATATTACCCTAAAGTCTAGAAATAAGCTATTAGCTTTATTCTAAAGAAATTAGAGAAACCAAACTATTTCCTATCTAAAGTATATTAAGTTATTTCCCTATTTAATTACTTAGGGAAGGTTTCTGAAAGAATACTAGCTAGGCAACTTAGCTATTTAGCTAAGACTAGTAACCTACTATATTACTCCCAAATAAAAAATAGGCTCTATAAGTTAGTTATTAATATTACTTTACTATTATAAAATAAAATAGAATTAAATAAGTCTTATAAGCTAAAAACTAGTACTCTTTTCCTAGATATTAAAGGCGCCTTTAATTATATATCCAAGAATAGGCTATTATAGATTATAATTAGTTTACTATTACTTACTAGCCTTATTCTCTAGGTATTATTATTTCTAGATAACCAAGTATTATAACTAGCTTTTAATAATAGTATAGAAGTATTTAGGTCTATACTTATTAGTATTCTATAAGGTAGCCCTATATCTCCTATATTATTTCTTATTTATATCCGAGACTTATTTAAATTAGTAAATATTAAATTCAGATCCTATTTAGATAATATATCTCTTATTACTACTTCTAAAAGTCTTAAAAAGAATATAAAGACCCTAGAATAGGAAGTAAAGAATATAATTAACTTAGGGAAAAAGAATACTATTAGCTTTAATATAAATAAAACAGAACTTATTTATTTTAATAATTCCAAAAATAAGCCTAGTCTAAAACTACCTAATAAGGAACTAGTTTCTCCTAGTAAAGTAGTTAAATAGCTAGGGATCTATTTCGATGAAAATCTCAGATTTAAGGAATATATAGCCTATAGGGTATCCAAAGCAAAATAAGCCTTTTATAGGATATAAAGACTTATAAATATATTATATAGCTTATTTCTTTTTATAATTAGATAGCTATATTTAGCCTATATTACTAGTATAATAGACTATGGTTCTATACTATAGTAGAAGACTAAAAATAAAGCTCAAATTCGGCCTTTATAAGTAATTCAAAACCTAGCCCTAAGGAAAACCCTAGGAGTATTTAAAACTGCTTCTATTATTCCTATAGAAGTCAAATTAGCTTTAGTTTTACCTATTATAAGGCTAAATTATAGTTAATATTAATATGCCTTTCGTATTCTTAAACTAAGTCTAAAATACCCTATTAGACTAGAGTTCGAGAAGTTTTTCTAAAGATCTAGAGATTTAGAAGTAATAGAATCTAATATAGACTCTATTTATAGTCTAAATACTAATCTAAAGCAAGATTACTTAGCTAAAAAGTCTCAAATAGAAACTATA